AACTATCTCCAAGATCCCTCGAAATCTGTAGAATCTTTAAATTCTATTTCTGCACCATTATCATGTCATTGTGTTGCACAATCAATGGGATTGCACAAAAAGTTCTGAGATATGCATTTACCATGAGTAAAAATTACTATAGATAAAATATAATGGGAATTCTTATCTCTCTTACATGAATATTATTTACATCAGTAGAAGATTTATTCATATTTAGTAATATGTACTAGCCAGCTTCTATATGGGTAGGGAAATGCTTGACTATTTCCTTGAATTCTCCTTCCTCTCTCCTGTCCTGGTTCAGATATTGCACATTCCTCCTCCCCCCCATGTTCATTAATGAAGTCCACAATCTTAAATGGACCAGCTACCTGCTTAATAGCTATAAAATATTCCAGTAAAAGCAAAAGAGCACACTATTCAAACATAACTAGAGTCGTTGAGGCCCCTGCTGGGTCTTGCAAGCTGCTATCACTCTTTCTTTCTGAGCAGCTGTATCTCTCTCTTGCACGCACACAGTGAATAAGCTACATTATGTATCACAGGACAACAGAAAATAGAAACATGAATCAAAGTGGATTTTGTTTTATTCCAAAAATAAACTAATCTCACCAAGACTAATATAAAAGTGGCTGACAGGGACAGATTATGGTTTCAACTAAGAGCTCATTCAACTCTTTCTTTCTGAGCAGCTGTATCTCTCTCTTGCACGCACACAGTGAATAAGCTACATTATGTATCACAGGACAACAGAAAATAGAAACATGAATCAAAGTGGATTTTGTTTTATTCCAAAAATAAACTAATCTCACCAAGACTAATATAAAAGTGGCTGACAGGGACAGATTATGGTTTCAACTAAGAGCTCATTCAGGGATTTTAGAATTTGTTGTTCCCCCCCCCCACACATCCCTGCTTACCCCTCCTCCCGCCCTGTGATTATCCAGACATTGGGACCACATATTGTGGGAAAAGGGGTGCTGTGAATTGACGTTTTCTCTTCCACAGGGCAGGCAGGTGCAGAGACAGTAAAAATCTTGCCTCCATCTCCACAGCACACCAGCCAGTGCACATAAACCAGCATTCAGGGAGAGGGGGGATAAAAAGAATAATTTGCTTCTAGCAATGCTCACGACTCAATGTTTTTCCTACTTAATATACTTGAGTCAATTTACTTTTTATTTCTGGCCAAAACTGTCTAATTTTACTCAGATTTGTCAATAGTTTTGTTGATGCAAAACTACATTTTTCAACTGTTAAAGTATTCATCTAAAAAAATTTACCCAGCTCTAGCTTGAAGTTTGCCATGTTTATTGGCTAGGATGTTAATTTTTCTATGGTATTTTGCCAACAAGTGAAGTTTTAACTGATAGCACACCGAATTACAATTAAGTTGTCTTTTTGGTAGTATTATTATTATTCTTAACACATCAAATATAAATCAAATTGAAAACAGAAATTGAATTGGATTGCTCAATGATATAGTTTGGCAAAATCTTTCTCTAGTGCTCTACTTGTAATTCTATGCCTTTCCTTTACTATTTAGTCTCAAAAAGGGAATGGATAAATTAATAAAATACCAATAGGTCATTCTCAAACAAATCCATAACTCACTTAGACATTCAGTTACTCTGCAGTTTCCAGTCATGTCTCAGATGAAACACAAATAAATGTTTATTTACTTTGCAACTATGCTTTCCATACAATCATATATCTATATTTGACAGAATATGGAATTGTGTCAATGAAAAATTATTGCAAAGTTGATTATTGTTTTTGAAATGGTAATTCTTCCTTCTCCATTTTGTATTTTTTTAAAATGGAGTGAGTACTGTAATTCATACAGGACAAGACTTAACAATGTTCAACATAAGTCATTCAACAACTTACTCTTTCAAACACAGTTTCATTTAGATACATAATTCATTAATACTCCCCCCTCTCTCCCACTCCTTGCACACTACCGATTTCCACCTTTATTTCATGTTTTCAGGGATGTGCCACTCTTTATATCAGGTTTCAAATTTTAACTGCATATACAGACACCCAAATAAATTGCCTGATTTTCAGAAGCACTGAATACCCTACAGCTCTGTTAAAGGTCAACAGGAGCTGCACAGTGCTTGGCACTTAATAACTGAGCCACATCATATGTCTACATATGGACTTGGACACTATGTAGAGGCACACAGTTTTGAAAATGTTAGGGCTGTGTGTATTCACAAAAAGCAGGGGTGAAGAAATGGAGATTCTACTGATATGGAATCTTATTTAAATAAATCTTCTCCCTAATGCCAAGGAGTGAGGCATCCAATGATTGGAATATAATAGTCATCCCACTTTCTTTTGGCTGGGTTGCAGGAGAATGTGGTTTGAGGGACAGGTTAGGGGAATGGGAATTGAAATAAGTGTTGTTGTGAGGGACAGTGCTAACTATTGCCAGCACTAAGGAAAGCAGGTGCTGATGCGGGGTGGAGAGGAAGATCAAGGAGCCTCTGGCTACATTACAAGTTTGGATTTTTAGACTAGGCCTCATCTCATTCTTTTTCAGAAATATAGTAGAATACTTCAGCCATCATTCTGCAAAGCATATGTTTATTTAACTTTCAGATCACGCTTATACTTAGGGCCCAAGTGTCATTAAGCTGAAGAGTTTCAGTTTGTTCATTAAAAGAAACAGTGCTTATATGGACACAGGATGAAATTTTCGAAAGTCCCTATGTGACTTAGGAGTTTAAGGCCCATTCAAAGTTAGATTGTTACTTAAGCCTGGGATTGAATCTATGTGAAGTGTCTGTCAGCTGAACAGCCAGGCAGAGGTTCCTGTGCAACCTTGTACTTTCTGGGCTTGATACATACCTCAGTGAAGTCAATAGCAAAACGCTCTTTAATATGAATAGTGTAGGATCAGAGCCACTGTGTATCTAAAGATGGGCTACACACATGCAGGTTCATACAAATTGGCTACGTCTAGACTGGCATGATTTTCCACAAATGCTTTTAATGGAAAAGTTTTTCCGTTAAAAGCTTTTGTGCAAAAGCACTTTTTGCAGAAAAGCGTCTGTGCCAATCTAGATGTGCTTTTGCGCAAGAAAGCCCTGATCGCCATTTTTGCCAATCGGGGCTTTTTTGCGCAAAACGGTTCTCGGTTGTCTACACTGGCCCTCTTGTGCAAAAGCATTTCCGGAAAAGAGCTTTTGCCAAAACGGGAACATCAAAGCATTTGCGCAAGAAGCACTGATTTTGGACGTCAGTGCTTTTGCGCAAAATCAAGCAGCCAGAGAAGACAGCTGGCAAGTTGTTCTAGTTCTAGCAACCATTCAGTGGTTCTAATATTCCATGCAATCAAAGCAGATGATATAGGAGACTGTGAACTTTAGGTTCTCTTCCTCCCTGCTCTCTATCTGCTCAAAGCCCAAATAATCTGCTTTTGTGTAATTTTTACCCTGTGATGAGAGTTATTTGAGGTTTTATTGTTATTGTGTTTTGGTTTTGAGGGGATTGTTTCTTTTTCTTCTTCTTTTTTTTTTTTTTTTTTTGGTTTGCTTTCAGGATTAGAGTTTTGAGGGTCTTTACAAATAAACAAAAACTAGCTAGCCAAACAGAAACCCTTCTCATTTTTAAAAAGTAATATGAAATTCCTACAGAATCCTTTATAGAAGTGTGGAAATCACTATTTTTAAACTTGAAAGGGCCAGGAATCTTTCAACATTATACCATCAAAGCAACATAAAAAAAAAACACCATAAATTTTCCAAAAATGAAAGAAGAAATTATATATTATACTTCGAATAGTTATAATTTAACACATTTCTAGATAAAATATTGCTTGACAAAATCACCAAACACCTGTTACAATCTACAGCAGAATAAAAGATGTCTCTGTCTCATCCCAAATATAATTTGTTACGCTATAGATACAATTTCAGTTCTGTAAATTATCTTTCTGTTGTATGTGAACTAGAAAATCATTTCAGAATAAACAAAGTAATTAAACATGTTCAAAACACTCAGAAACTACAAAACAGGTCTCAAATCTTACAATTAATATTTTTCCTATTTCCTTATTTAATTTATGATTTGGGGGGAGGGAATATTGTATGAATTAGTAATCAAACTGCATAATATTTCACAGTGTTCAGGTAAACAGTTCCTAGCAATGTCTTTGGCTGAAGATAAGCAATTTCACTCAGCATCAGAATAGGTATTCTATATGCCTACATAAAACCGACTTCTTTTGCAGAAGATTATCCTCCATGAATTTCCTAATTCTGGACTCCCCAAACTGCAGTACAGCTGCTTAAATTCCCAGGCCTGCTCTACACTACATGGGAAGATGAAGTAAGATACACAGCTCCAGAAACAGAAATTACATAGCTGGAGACGACATATCTTACATTGCATTTCTGTGCCGTCCACACAGTGGGAGTCTGACTGGAGAAAGTAAAACAGAAACTTTGCTTCTGTTCCAGGTGCTCATAAAATATTTAGATATATTTGTGAAGCATGATAGTGCTCAATGTTTGTTTGGTTGCCAGATTCTTGCCTTTAGTCATTATATATTTTCTTCTGATTTAAATATTCAGCTAGATTCAGCGAACCTTTAATACTTGGTATTGTTTTGGACTAACAAACTTTGAAAGTACCAAAACTAAGAATAATAAAAAGTGTGTTTAATACTTCCCACCACCCCCCAAAAAAGCATTAATACCACAGCTATCAGGCAGTGAGATTGACTGAGTTCTTATAGTATTTTTCAACCTGTTTGTGGGTAAGATAAGGACATTATTATGGAGTATTTAAAACCTTTGATTTTTTTTATAATAAGTCTTGGTATACAATTGAAAGTTTTCACTAGAAGCAAATATTTTCAACTTTTAATAAAAGTATCTGGTTCAGTTTAACTAGCACAATGTCACATTTGAGCTCTGTTGTACATAGGGATGAGGTAAAGCTTTCAAATCTTGTTTTTAAGAAGAGTGTTAATCATGTTCTCTTACCTTCATAGAATACTTTAAACCCATGGGCACTGACTGCAAAGTCACTTGTCAAACGCAGTGAAAATACAGATTTTGTACTTGTCACAGGTGGAGGAAGATGAAATCCTGTTAACCTACAAATATAAACATAACTCATGGTTAATTGTTTATTTTACATTGGAAATTTGTAGTGAGTAATAAGTTTGAAACAGTCCAGTTGCATTCTTACAGACAATATAAATGAAATAATAGAATCTAAATGTTATATTATTTGTGAAATCCATTTTCTAAAATTTCATAAGAAAGCTGCCTGACTGGCATTTATGTAGCCTAGCACAGGTGAGATAGGCTAACTCAGCAAGGTTGCACATAAAGAAGGTCATTGTTGAAATTACAGAAACATGACAGATTTAAACAAGCTAAGGATCTATACCAGTATTTTCTTAACTATCTATAAAATATATAATGTAAGTGTGATAATGTTTTGTCCACAGAGTTTTCCCAGCATTCAGTTTTACACACACACACAAAAGGGAAGAAATCACAGCTCACTTAAACATGGGATGTTAGCAAATTTAAACTATGTATCTCAACCTACAAAAGTGCTTTTCCTCAAGTCGACTGTCATGCCTAGCAAGTGTGGGAAGAATTGCTCAGAGGGTTTTAATTCTAATTCATAGAAAGATCCCAGATGGTAGTGTTGAGTAATTACTCATCTACTCAGAAGGCTCTCTTGCAGGGTTTTACAGCTGTACTGTTTCTGGCTTTATTTGGGGATTTTTTTGGTCAGATCCATATATACACCCCAGGCAGCTGTGGAAGAAAGTTTGACATTCAGCCCAGTGTTTCCATTTCATCTGACCCAGGTGCTGCAGCCTCTTTGCTTTCCAAATGCTAGTTGAGACTGGGATTTGTAGTAGGGTAAATTCTCCAAGGCTCAAATTACAATAAAACAAAAGTGATTCTGACTGGCTGATAGAATTACCCAGGGAATTTGATGGACACAGTTGAAGACACATGCTCAATATTCATCAGTGGAATCTCCAATCCTAAGGTTACAGCTGGACCCCACAGTTTCTCAAGCTAGAGGTAGCTTCAGGGCTAAAAGTATCTGTTTTCATCTATGCTTGGGGTGACAACTGTGGAATTTCTCTTTGGTATTGACTTTGCCTGTAAATCAATGAACTTGTATATTAGTAGTTTCATAAAACTGTAATACTCCATATATAGAATTGCCCTTGCAAGAAAAAAAAACTTTCAGCTTCTTTCCCTGGTGCAGCATTTGCAATCTAACCACTTAATGGATGGAACAGAAGAAGCAAGTTCCAGAAATACTCCACAGATTGAACTAGCAACCTATTTCTTACAGGAGCAAGTGCAAGTCAAATATGGAGACTGATCTGTTTTGAAAGTATGCATGCTGTGTTACTAGAGAGAACTCCTTCCTCTGAAATCACTTCCACAACAGATAAGGTCAGCCAGTATTCTGTAACAAGAATCTGGCATGAGCTGTTTGGGAGCCACCAACAGGGCATTTCATACGGAAAGGGGAAAGGGCTCAGCCCTAGAATTCATAGGCCTAACAAAACTTGACATTGCTGATCTCAAAATTACAGTGCATAATTTATCCCTTGACTTAGCCTTTTTATCTCAAAATCACGATAAATTAAATAGTTTACTTTAAGCTTCAGCTTACAAATTGATTGCTTTTGTGGATTTATGGCTGATCCATTATAGTTTTGTTTAAATATAGCGGGTTTTTTTTCTTTCATTTCACTCAGAAAAATTTGTCATTTTTTCTAATGTGGAAGATATATGAATTTAATATAAAATGTAACACAGCAAATCCAACCCCCCCCCCAATCTAATAACTAAGCAAACATTGCAAATGATGAGTGCTGAGGACTCTCAACTGCTAGCAGGGAGTGTGCAGGGCCTCTCAAGAACAGTTCCTAAGCTTGTTAGAGGAGAATGGCAAAGTCATTTTATGTCTGTTCTTCAATCTGGAATATGTGGAGATTCTTTTTCCTGTATCTTGTCATATTTAATCTATTTTGTAACTTTTTCCCCCTCAGGAACACTAAAGAAGAAAACAGTAGATAATGTGGAGAGATTATTTTGATGAATTAATAAGATATGTATAGCAGGAGCCAGTAGATAGCTGAATAACAACACAACCATTGACCATGCTTCCTTTTATAAAATAAAGAAAAAAGATGCAGTAAAAGCTGTGTTATCCAGCAATTTATCAACCAGAAACTTCTACTAAACCCATATCTGATATCTCCCAAATACAAACCTTCAGTTTACTAACCAGTACTAGTATATTGCCCCTGAGGTTATGCAATTATACACTCTGCCCTCTACTGGTATGCAAAAGAGGCAGAAGACAATTAAACAAGTGATATCAGGGAATTATTTAGGAAACCAGCTTCCAGGGTGTATCATGGGGTTATTAGAGATCCAGCCTAATCTCCTACACCTCTTATCTATAGCGATAATTGATGTTGATAATAATGTTATTGAGGGACTGAATAATCCTGAAGTGCCTTCTGAATCATCATTATTCAGAAAGAATAAATTATGTGCAGTAGTTTTAGCATTAAGTGTATTTTTAAATTATCTGAGTGCATGCCACGTGCTGCCCTCAGTGATAAGAAGTGTCATAAGATAATTTACAGCCAGGACGGGGAACATTTTTTGGGTCGGAGGCTACCGATCCATAGGAAAATCAGTGGGGGTGCACACAACCCCCCCCCAAAACCTCCCTGATGTGCCTCTCTCCCTACCCCCAGCTCCCCTCTCACTCCAGCACCAGAGCCAGGGGGTGTCCAAGGTAGTAGATTTTGTGGCTCCCCTCAGCTATGGATGGGGCCCCAAATGAGGGTTTCAATGTGTGGAAGGGAGATGCTGGAAAGCAGGCTGGGAGCATGGGGTTTGGGTGGGTGGTAGAGTACAGCAGCTGAGTGAAGTGCAGGGTTTGGCTGAGAGGTGGTGCAGGAGTAGATGGGCAAGGGAGATTAGGGCAGAAAGCAGGAGCAAAGTGGGGTACAGGGTCTGAGAAGAAGGAAGGGTGCAGGAGCAGGCTGGGGTGGAGCAAGCTGAGTGGGAGGCAGGGAGCAAGAGTGTAGCAGGGTGTGGGGATTGAGCGGTAGGTGGGTGCTTACCTGTGCAGAGCCCTGGGGCTACACGTGGGAGGGATCTGCTGTGTCCCCCTGCTGCTCCCAGGTGCTGGTCCTGGCTGTTTCTATTGATTGTGATTACAGCCAATTAGGACAATAGGGGGAAAAGCTTTCAGGTGAGTGCTTCCCTTCACTGCCATTTCCCCAGGTGGGGGAGTGGGAAATGGAAGCATGTGGAGCCTCTTCCTCCCCCCATAAGCCAGAGTCTTCAGGTTGGATGCAGCCCCAACTTGCCTGACTCTAGCCCACACGGACTGAAACTCTCCTCCCACCCACTGTGCAGAGGGGAGCAGGTGCAGTCATTCCAGCCTTGGAGGGTGGGGAGAGGGGGGACAGGATCCAACGCACAGGCCATAGGTCCCAAATCCCTGACCTAATATCTGCATATACCTACGTGCCTCAAAAAATAACCACTGCACAGTGCAGTACTACTTACTGGATTGCTGAGTACCTATACACTATTTTATACTTTATTCATTTTATTGTATTCAAATTCTTTGAAAATTGGCATTCCAATGGCAAATATAACTCTTCATGAACTGGAATATTTGATTGACCAGCACACTCCATTTCTTCAGCATACTGAACAACAAAGCTTTTACTCTATTCTGATATTTTTAAGGAGAATAAGTCTGAATTATTAATCATAGTGTGAATTTAGTTTCCTGGAAGAGAAAGTGATTTGAAAAACACCACATCATAGTGTTTTTCAATTTGATCATGACTGAAGCACTACAAATACTTTAGTGTCTCAATAATAAATGCATTTTCTGCTGCTAGTATAGAAATTTAGTCATACTCTTACTCATAAAATTCACAATATGTAGAGTTTAATCATTATCAGTCATTCCAATCATATAAGGAGGAGCTTGAAATTGGTGGAAAGTCCAGAATGCTAAAGATCAGGGTCTGAAATTACTGAACATTCTCCTCCATGTTTTATGAGTTGTACTGTGTAATAAGAATAGGTAGTATATCAGTAATGTGATTTCTTTTTTGTTTAACCTTAAGGCATTACTCCATGAGTTCTGCAAAGTGTACCAATTATACTGATGTTGAGAGCTATCTACTCTAGATACTACAGTTAATTTTGTAATGTTCTCTGGTGACTAGCTACTTTGTATTCTGAAGGGCATTTAATTAGAGATGTCTTGATTGGTACTTCATCTGTGACTGTAATTTGTTAAAGAATAAACTCAATTTTACCCCCAAGGGACACTTTCTCTTTAATCATCTTCTGCCTGGGCTGTATCCAAATTTATACCAGATCAAAAATAGGAAAGGAGCACTGAATAATTTTGGTCATGACAGAACCAACAGTCATGTGATGAGGGAATGTTGCCCAAGGCTGGGCTTTTGACCATTCTTAAAATTACTGGTCAAAAATTGTCATAGGTAAAAAATGGTTACATAATTGAAGGCATCAAATTATTAGAACTGTAATTATAGTAGGAAAAATAGTAAGATTTATATGGAAAGGTTTTGCCTTAGATATTTATGCCTAATTACAAAATAAGTTATTTTACTGAGTTATTTTAATTCAGAAAAATGCAAAAAATATGAAGTTAAAAAAAGAATAATGATTAGCATATTTTAGCAATGTTAGTTTTTTATTTTAACAGGAATGTTATTCCAAAACTGAAGAGTTACAAAAGATAAGAAATTAAAAAGATAAGAGGAAGCTTATATAAATGAAAAATGTAATTTCAAATGCTGTGTAGGCAGCAGACCCAGTCTACAGGAATCATGCTTTTCATTATCTTTTAGGAGATATCTTTTGGATGGGGATATATATTTGGAGTGTGTGGAAGGAAAGTTCTGTTCAGAGGGAAGGATTGGAGAGTTATTTAACTAACTAGGGTCACTAGTTTTGTTGGCGATGATGTAGATGTTGCGGGATGGTTCATATTTTTGTTTATTAAAGGAGACAGTTAATAGCAGTGCATCTTTTC